GACAATGGACTCTGAAAAACAAACTGAGGGTTCTGGAGGGGAGGGGGGTGGGAGGATGGGTTAGCCTGGTGGTGGGTATTGAGGACGGCACATTCTGCATGGAGCACTGGGTGTTATGCACAAACAATGAATCATGGAACACTACATCTAAAACTAATGATGTAATATAGGGGATTAACATAAGAATAAAAAAAATATATTGTAGTGAGTGTGTATGGTGACAGATGGTAACTGGACCCATCGTGGGGACTGTTATGTTTAAAAATATTGAATCACGGGGCGCCTGGGTAGCTCAGTCGTTAAGCGTCTGCCTTCGGCTCAGGTCATGATCCCAGGGTGCTGGGATCGAGCCCCGCATCGGGCTCCCTGCTCAGCGGGCAGCCTGCTTCTCCCTCTCCCACTCCCCCTGCTCCTTCTCTCGCTTTGTCTCTCTCTGTCAAATAAATAAATAAAATCTTTAAAAAATATATTGAATCACGGGGCCCCTGGGTGGTTCAGGCATTTGAGCATCTGCCTTCAGCTCAAGTCATGATCCCAGGGTCCTGGGATCGAGTCCCACGTTGGTCTCCCTGCTCAGCAGAGAGCCTGCTCCTCCCTCTCCCTCTGCCGCTCCCCCTCTCGTGTGTACTGTCTCTCAAATAAATAAAATCTTCTAAAAATCTTTTAAAAATTAAAAAAATAAAAATATCGAATCACTGGGGCACCTGGGTGGCTCAGATGGTTAAGCATCTGTCTTCGGCTTGGGTCATGATCCCGGAGTCCTGGGATCGGGCCCCACATCAGGCTCCCTGTTCGGCGGGGAGCCTGCTTCTCCCCCTCCTTCTACTGCTCCCCCTGCTTGTGCTCTCTCACTCTCTCTGTCAAATAAATAAATAAAATCTTAAAAAAAAAATCACATCACTGTGATCCCAGGACCCTGGGATCTATTTAAAAATGGCAGAGGAGCTGCCCATTTAGGTCTATAGGATGTTGTGTGTCAGTCATGCTTCAATTAAAACAACAATGCTGTTGTGAAATGGAAGCACATTAAAGAAAAGAGACATGAGGACAGGTACAGAATCCCGAAATCTGTCCCGAGAGATTTCTAGAAGGATAGAGAAAGTGGAGGAGGGGCAACACTGTGTGTCCGCAGCTTTATTTTCTTCACAGAAGTCATCTCTCACTGAAATTGTAATTATAATTTAATTATATGGCAGCATGATTATTCCTATCTGAAACAAATCTTTATAGCATGTGCTTACGTGCTTGATTATTGTCTGTTCCCTCCTTTGGAGCGTCTTCTTCTCGTGGGTTCGCCCCTCATGTCCCTAATGCCCAGAACAAGGATACCCTCAACAACAAATTACTAAATAAAACAATGGATGAATCCCGGCAAACAAGGAATAAATGGGGATTCCCCAGATCAGAAGACCTGAGCCTTCCGCCTGAAAAGCCTTAAGGGTGTCACCAAGATTGGAACTTGGTTCAACCACTTTGGGTAACTTGCAGCAACATCTCCCAAAGCACTCACAATTCCTTGTGAGGCAGGAATTTCACTGCTGGGCACATGGCCCAAAGAAATGAAAATAGATATCCACCAAAGACATGTGTAGGAATATTCATAACAGCTTTACTGGTAAAAAGCCCCATACTAGAGACAGCCCCAACCTCCCACCACAGCAGAATGGAGGGAAAGACAACCCGTGGTCAGTCCACGAGCTGGGATGGTATGCACCAATGAAACAGAAATGCTCTACGCACACCAAAAACCGTGTACTATTCATGCTTTCTGGATTTTCTCTAGCTCTTTTTTTTTTTTTTAATGTTTTGGTTTTTAATTTACATTTTTCCTATTTTTAAGTCTAATTGCTTTTTTTTTTTAAAGATTTATTTATTTATTTGAGAGAGCAAGAATGAAAGAGAGAGAGAGTACACGAGAGGGGGGAGGGTTAGAGGGAGAAGCAGGCTCCTCGCTGAGCAAGGAGCCCGATGCGGGACTCGATCCAGGGACTCCAGGATCATGACCTGAGCCGAAGGCAGTCCCTTAACCAACTGAGCCACCCAGGCGCCCTTTTTTTTTTTTTTTTGAGTAATCTCTACAACCAACATGGGGCTCGAACTCATGACCCCAAGATCAAGAGTCACATGCTACTCGGACTGAGTCAGCTGAGCACCGAGCGCCGATTCTCTGTATTTCAGATGCTCTGACATCCCTGGACCCTGACAGACTGCCCCTCCCAGGGCTAACCAGGTCCAGTAAATGCTTAGCCTGGGAGACTTCCCCATGCAAACTCACCAGTCCAGAGCCCATGCACCTCACCGCCTCCTCCAGTGGCTCACACTCGGGGCCAGGGTTCCCCGGCCCTCATCACCCCAGAGACAGGTTCCAGACAACTCAACAAACAACTGGAATACAATTATTCAGACTGGCCAGTCCTGAACCTGTTTACCCTGCCTCACCACTCCTTCCTGGG